GGGCAACAGTGGGAGGGCTTCTAGTGTCCTGGCCCCACTGGTGGACCTCCTGATGGCACCTGGTATTTTTGGCCACTGTATGACAGAGTGTTGGACTAGATGGGCCATTGGTCTGATCCAACATTGGCTTCTCTTATGTTCTTAAAGTATACCCTAAGGGAGTGGTTGTTGCTGCCTTAAGGGGTAAAAGGAAGAATATAAAATATACTTTTCTTGTTGGATTAGAAGGAATAGAGGGTTATATGGTTTGGGATTCCTTAGTGGGTGAGAGATGGTTTTTGGGAATGGTCCTAGGTTCTCAAGGATACCTGAATCTGAATTACTGGGTGAAAGAGCCCTTTTATTACCATTGGGCTTAAGGACCACTGGAGTGGGAATCTGGAGATAGGGGGAAATATCTGGTTTGGGTTAGAAGTACCAGTGGGTCACCTTTGAGGTCTACCGGTGGGGCATCAGAGAGGTTTACTGGATGTGGGGAACCAGACTGAGTTAAATTTAAAAAGACAAAGGAGTAGGGTGGCTGGTGGTGACGTGATTAAACTCCTGCTTCTGTGAGTGGCTCAGGACATCTGCTTTCATTTGGGGTGAAATTGATCATTTGGAAGTCCTAAGAGGGGAATGCAGCATTCATAGAATTCATAGAAGCAGCCAGGAAGAGTCATAGTAATTCTCAGGCATCCAAGAAGGTCCTTAACATCAGGGCCCCAACGCTCTCTAAGGCTCTGTCGGCGTACAATTTCCACCTATAATTTTAACGAATTGCTGAAAAAATAAACCAAAAAAGAGGGACGCTATTGGCCAGTTTCCCTTGTCCAGTCAGGAATATAGGACTTCAAGGGAGGGGACTCCCAAAGGACTCATCACATGTGGGGTGGTAGGTATTGTCAATGTAACAACAGCCTTTACATGAGGAGATGGATAAGGGATCAGGAAACTGTCCACTGTCCCTTCCTATGCATGCAGAAGTTGGCTATGAATCTTTCTATGAGGTTTGGTATAGTTCCAAGTCAAGTTTCCAGAGTCTGTGAACATGGAATTTTTAGCTCTCAGCAAACTAACATGTTGAGGGTGGGGACAGCCAGAGAGATGTTGATCCCCAATGCAGTTTGGCCATGTGCAGACTCTCCCATTCTTTGTTTATTCAACACAAGGTTAGCTACCAGGCTGAGATGGTCAAACAAAGAATCCCAAATAACCACTCACTTCTGTTAGTGTATTAACAGTGCAATCAGAAGAACACTTCCCAGGGAGAAAGCACCATTGAATAGACCAGAGTAGACTTCTGAGGAGACCTGCTGAGGATTTCTCTCTATAACATTTCCTCCACTCAGCCCTACAGGTAACGTGCAACTGGATACTGACAGCAAAATGCCGAATTTTACCTCTACATCTGAATTCTTGCTCCTGGAATTTTCAAACATCCGAGAACTACAGATCTTACATTTCTTTGTCTTCTTAGCAGTATATGTGACTGCAGTGACTGGTAATCTTCTCATCATCATTGCTGTAGTGCTCGATCATCATCTGCACACCCCCATGTACTTCTTCCTCATGAACTTGGCTGTCCTGGACCTGGGCTCAGTTTCTGTCATGGTACCCAAAGCGATGGCCAATTCCCTCCTGAACACCAGGTCCATTTCTTATTCAGGATGTGTGGCTCAAGTATTTTTCTACTTCGTATTCTCAGGGTCAAATTTTGCCACCCTAACAGTAATGGCACATGATCGGTATGTTGCTATCTGCTGTCCATTGCAATATGAGGCAACCATGCATAAAGCAGCCTGCATTCGGATGGCAGCCAGTGCATGGATTGCCAGTATACTTAATGCCACTTTGCACACTGGTAGCACTTTTGCCATCACCTTCTGCTCCAATATAATCAATCAGTTCTTCTGTGAAGTTCCACAGATAGTAAAGCTTTCCTGCTCAAACTTATATCTAATTGAAATTGGAATTCTTCTGTTTAGCTGCATCTTAATTGGAGGATGTTTTACCTACATCATTATAACTTACATTCAGATTTTTGCAACAGTACTCAGGATGCCTTCAGTGCAGGGTCGGAAAAAAGCCCTCTCCACTTGCCTTCCCCACCTCATTGTGGTGTGTCTGCTTGTTTTCACTGGAATGTTTGCTTACTTAAGGCCTCCTGATAACACATCATCTGATCTCAGTATCCTTTTTGCAGTGATCTATGTTATGTTACCTCCATTGCTGAATCCCTTCATTTATAGCATGAGAAACAAAGACATCAAGATTGCATTGCTAAAGCTGACCAAAATCTCTCATCCAAGTCTTCATGTTTGGTTTTATCGTTTCATCTTTCCCTTCTTCCTTTAACAGAAAATTATATAGTTTTTGTATTAATTTATCTAAATCTGATTTTGTTGTTTCAAAGCCTCTACTTTTATCTTTGGCAAATCTGGATTTCAACTGATTCTTTTCCCAGTTTGTTAAGTTGATATTTAAGTCTTGTAGGTTCACAAAGGAGTTTAGTTCTTTTCTCTTTGTTAATAGTACCTCATAGCTGGCCTTCTTGTCTTGGCTTAACAAGCTCGAGATGATAAAGGCTTCCATTGGAGCTACCCAACCTGGGATCTTATCGTAAAATTTTTCTTTTATACTTTTCCAAACTTTACTTAATGCACCTCGGATTATGTGGTTCAGGAAATGCTTTTGTATTTGATCTTTGTCATACCATATATAGGCATGCCAACCCATATATAGGCCATGACCTTCCAGGTTTAAAATTCTTTCATTTTTTAAGGTTATCCAATCTTTTATCCACCCCATGGCAGCAGCATTATAGTAAAGTTGCCAATCTGGCATGCCTAATCCACCTCTTTCTTTTTTGTCCCATAATAATTTTAGTTTAATCCTTGGTTTCTTTCCTTGCCAGATGAACTTTCTTGTTATTTGATTTAGTTCATCGAAAAATTTATTGTTGTTTAAGACTGGGATTGTTTGTGCCAAAAACAAGAAGCGTGGTAGAATAGACATTTTTATTGTCGTGATTCGGCCCATAAACGAAATATGTAGATTGTGCCATTTCATCAGATCTCTTTTAATCTCTTATAGCAATACTTTATAGTTATTTTCATATAGTTGAACATCTTTGTTTGTTATTGTAATTTCTAGATATTTTACTTTGTTTACCACTTCCATATTCGTAATTTGTTGTATCTTTAATATTTCTTTTCTATCACAGTTTTTTGTCAGGATCTTTGTTTTCTTAATATTAATCTTTAGACCTGCTCTTTCTCTATATTCTTGTATTCTTTTCAGTAGATGTATGACCGATTCCGTTGGTTCTTCCATTATGAAAACTAAATCGTCAGCAAATGCTTGCAGTTTATATTGTTCTTTTTTAACCTTGAGTCCCCGAATATTTTTATCAGTTCTTATCATTTCCGTTAAGGATTCTAAGCAAAAGATAAACAAAAGGGGCGAAAGTGGACACCCCTGTCTAGTTCCTTTCCGAATCGGGATACTCTGGGTTGGGTCCCCATTGACGATTATCTTCGCCCATTGTTCTTTGTAAATTGCTAATATCATTTTCCCAAAGCTGTCTCCACAGTCCCACACATTTAATTTATAGTGAAGGAAATCCCAATTGACATTATCAAATGCCTTTTCCGCATTTTGGTCAGGAAATAAATATGGAAAAGTGGTCCAAAGCATGGAAGTCAACAACTTTACTAAAAGCTACTTCCTATAAAGAAAACATCTTTAAAATGCACCATCGATGGCATTGGACCCCAGATAAAATAGCAAAATGCTACAAAAAGGCTTCAGGAATTTGCTGGAGATGCAAAAAAAATGTGGGCTCATATTTTCATGTATGGTGGAAAATGCCTTTTCCGCGTCCAGGAACATCATAGCTGCTTGTTTGCCAGGATTTTGTTCATAATATTCTAGTGTATTTATGATTATTCTTACGTTGTTTTTAATCTGTCTTTTGGGAAGAAATCCAGATTGGTCTTGGTGAATTACTTCAGTCATCACACTTTTAAATCTTGTGGCCAAAATTGTAAATGGTAGAAATAGATCTGAAACTAAGCCCAGAAGTGTATCTACTTAATATCTTACCTGAAGGGATCAAATTTAATGACTCATGTGTAATAGTGTATATCCTTACTAGCGCTAGAATCCTCTTAGCGAAATGCTGGAAATCGGAATGTATACCAAGTAGAGATGAATTAATTGCTAGAATTATGGAAATAAGAGAGATGGACAAATTAAATATGATAATGTTGGCAAAAGATGAAGCCTTGTTTAAGAAAAGATGGCAAAAACTAGAAAAATTGTTTAAATCAAATGTGTAAGAAGCTCCTGAAATTGATATTTACTATGTATGATATACTTTGTATTGTTAAAACTTGAAAAAAAATGTTTTAAAAAAATAAAAAAACTTCTAGAATCCAAAAAAAAAAAAAAAAAAAAAAAGATTGCATTGCTAAAGCTGACTGGTTTTGGACAGTTTCCCCATATCAGCTCCATCCAAATTTTTCTAGGAAAATGGTGTTGAATGATCTCTTCTGGGTGATTTTCTTATTGGCATTGTAATTTGGGATGTACACAATATCATCATCATCATCACCATCATCATCACCATCATTCTGTGAAGCACAAGGAGAGGTTGGTGGGCTTTGGACCTCTTTTGTTTTCCCTTTTTTTCAGTACTCAACTGTGAAGACTGAAAATTTGAAGCTTGGAGTTGGGGTTTCCACTTGGAACAAACATGATTTGAAACAGATAACTGCAATTAGAAGGTGGAAGACATTGAGATCACCCTCCAGCTATGATCCCATAAGGTCTTCTTGCTCCAATGGAAGGCATCTTTCATCACAACTCCAAGCCAACATTTCTGCCTGTGTCAGAGATCACTATACCACCACTCAAAGACTGTTGCCTGCCCCTGGAGTGGGTGCTGGCATTTGCCTGCCCCCATTCTTTCGGAGGAAGCACAAGTGGGGGGGAGCCATTTGTGGCTCAGTGCGGGAACACTGGCTAATCGAGGGCTGGCTCACTGGCCAGGTTTTGGTAGCAGCTGCCCTTCCTCCTCAGATCAGCCCAGCACAAGCTCAGAAGGGGATGGAACTGCGTGTCTGGGCAACAAAAGGCTCCACGTGGAGCAACAGTTACCTAGATGATCCCACAGCAAACACAGCTGGGGTTTGGATCAGCAAGGGGGTACAGGAGGTCCTGGGCTGGCTGCAGTCACATTTAATCAGAAAGGGAAGTCTCTGGGGGTTGGTGGCTGGAGTTTGTAGGGGGTTATAGGTAATTCTGGCCAACCCTCCTTTTGGATTTTGGGTGTGAGCCATGGCAGCTAGCCAACCCACCACACTAGCTCAGTGATTGGAGTGAGCTGTCCCCCTCACTTGGCAGGTTGCCAATACTTCAGGAGGCTGCCATGCCATCTCACTGTTGGAGGAGAGCCCTCCCCCCACAGTGGGTTGCCACCTCACCAGGCAGCCATATGGTAGCTTGCAGTTGTGGATGAGGCCTCCTCATACCTCACCTCCAATAGCAGGAGGCTGCACACCCTGCCAGCAGCATGTTGGCCGGGGAGCAGATGGCCACAGCTACCAGCAGGTTCCCTTTACCAGGGGGCCATGGCTGGCTGTGGCTGGAGGCTGGCGCTCTCCCCATACCTTGAGCCAGAAAGGGGGTGAAGGCCAAATAGGTGGCAGACCCTGAGTCATCTCGGGGTAGGCTGGTTGGCTCCTATAGCACCCATTGCCTGCAGAGGGTCCCAGGTACACTCCCCAGCATCTCCGTTCCAAAGGGTCAAACGGTGAAGGTTTCTTCCTGAGACTCTGAGTGCTGCTGCCAGTTATACAGGGATGCTACTGACCTTGATGCTGTGGGCAATGCTCCCTCTAAGCTGTGGAGTCTTGTGAGCAAAAATTCTACTTTGTGAACTGCAGGCATTAAAGTTGTGAGTGAGCAATTTGGCTACTGCATAAATTAGTTTACTCTGGAGCCATCCTTCATGAGTTAAGACAAAAAATTGCAAGCTGGAGGCTAAAAAACTGTGAGCTAGCTCACACTAACTCAGATTAGAGGGAACACTGATTGTAGGGTCTGATTCAGTATAGGGCAAAAACCTCCCTCCCTCCCTGTCCTAGTCCAACACAGGGATGCAATAGTTTCTAGGAGGTGGTCTCAGCACCCCAGCTCAAAAACAGTGCAGGTGCATGGTTGTGACTTGTGCCAGTTTAGATGCATTTCAATTTAAGAAACAGTTTGTGATCATGCATATCATCAGCCGAGAAGGGTACAGGATCCTTGACTACAGTAGGGTGCAGTTAAGATATAGTTCATTCTAATGGGGTCAAGTAAGGTATCTGGGAATAATAAGTGAAGTGTTTGGTTAAGAACAATAGACATTCATAACTGTTTTCAAATCGTTAAAACCAGGGACAGGGGCTTGCTTCAACTGAGGGTGTTCTATAAGCTTCTACTTCTAATAGAGTGGGCAAATTGATACACTGTGCAACATTTCATTAATTTAGGAACATGAATTGCCTTCCAACCGAGCTAGCCAAAATGATTCCCAGTAAAACTGAAACAACCACTTTAAAACAAATGGGAAAATTTAAACCAAAATGCAATGGAAAAACACATCCAGATACAATGACATGGCTGGGAGGTACCAATGGTTTGATTCAGTGTAAGGCCACTCCATGGGTTTAGGAGCAGTTTTGCATGGGAGGTGGTCACTCAAGGCATGGCTATGTCACAGGGGTGGGGCAGCAGCTTGGCATGCTAGAAGTCCTAGGTGCCACCCCCAGTTCAAGGGAGCAGTGAGAGATATTGTGAAAGACCTCTGCCTGGGACTCGGGAACGATGCTGATAATCTGGGGATATGATAAACTGGCGGCACTGCCTCTGGACATGGAGGTCCCATTCTTCTAGGTTCTGCTTACCAGACTCCTTATCCACCCTCAAAAGAAACACTTGAATATTGAACAGCTCATTTGTACCATTCACAGCTTTGACATATCAGGGTTAAGGGTGCCACCTCTGGGTTGGGAAAGTCCTTGAGATCAGCCTTATAGAATCACAGAGTTGGAAAGGGCCATCTAGTCCAACCCCTTGCTCAATGCAGGATCAGCCTAGAGTATCTCTGACAAGCGTTTGTTCAGCTGCTGCTTAAGGACTGCCAGGGAGAGGGAGCTTACCACCTCCCTAGGCAGCTGATTCCACTGTTGCACAACTCTTACTGTAAAAAGAGAGAGTTCCCCCCCCCCCAATATCCAGCTGGTACCATCCTGCCCTTAATTTAAACCCATTATTGTGAGTCCTATCCTCTGCTGCCAACAGGAACAGCT